AATGGAAGTTTTACATAGATGAGCATGCATGCAATTCATAATTATAGCCACAATAGAAAATGATACTTCCCCCGTTTCAAAATAACTTATTAAGTTCTAGGATTTTTCTAAGTCCAACTTTTAATCTTTCTCCAAGTCTATACGTAGGGAAAATCTGTAAAGATCTACCATATCAAATATATATAATATGAAAATACATTTCATAATGAATCTGATGAAGTAAATTTGGTTTGTAGATAATGATATATATTTATATAGAGTTGGTCAAACCTAACGAAGTTTGACTTAGGACAATCTTAGTACCTCAGTTACATTGAAACAGAGGAGCAAATCACACGGGCTTAGATATAACAAGAAAAAGAAAACCATAGCACAGATAAGCTATGGCCTCCATTCTCCATTTCCCCTTTTCAGTACTAGTTGTTCCCAAGTTCCCCTCGTCTCCTGTGGCCTTTTCAGCTATAGGGCGTGAGAAATCATGGATCAAACATTTGGACTACAGTTCAAATTCTTTCTATGTTAGATTTGTCTATTTTTAGCAATGACGCCTATGTGGCAGAAGTGACAGTATACACATAAAAATGTCATTGCTTTGTCCTCATCCAGTTCTAGACTGATCTCGTCCAGTTGTGATCGACATTGGAAAGTCTATGGTGTTTCGGTCCCAGGATCATCGGCCCTATATATGATAAAGCTTTATTGATTAAGCTGAAATCAAGTCCTGTTTATAAACAACAGAGCAAGTTCAGCATGCAGTCTGATTTTCATGGTTAATGTGAGTTGTGAAATCAGAAAAACCATGGTACATCTTGCATTGCATCATTGCAAATTTGCAGTGCTCCAAAAGCTAGAGACAGGCAGGTAACCTTCTCCTCACAAGGATGAGGATGGAGTTCAATGTAACCACGCACTAGGAAAAAGCTAAAAAGATGATTATTCTTTAGACTCTTCAAGATCTCAAATGAGTACATAATTTGAGAAGCCAACACCTGCAGATTTATGTGGATCACTCAGCATCATCATGTCGTCCAAGAAGGGTTGTTGCAGAGTGGGCAGAATTATGTACGGCCTGCCAATAATTGAAACCAATTTCCCATTCATTTAGATATAATTGATCCGATTAGGTTCTACAAAACTGGGAAGTCCAATCTTAGTAGCAGCAACAATTCCACACTATAAAACACAGTTTGTTAGCACTACTCTTTAACTGTGGCATAGAACAGGGCATGTGTCATAATTGATTTAAGAGGGAGAAAAACATAAATTTAGAGGAAATCTCGGAAAAATGAAATAAACAAAAAAAATCACGGAAAAGTGCTCATAATCAGAAAAAATAAGAATTATCTCAAAGCTACCCGAAAGCCATGGAAACAACTTAGAATTAGCAAAATAAAAACTAAGAAACATGCTAATAGCAAGAATCCTAACGTACATATGAGATTAAAGATGAAACTCCCAAGTTAACCAATCCCATATGAGTGTTGAGATCCATGGTTCAAATTTCGACACTTGGCTAAGCTAATTAGTTTAAATTTGATTATTTTTCACTGGATGTGTGGGTTGGAAGGTTATATATATATATATATATATATATATATATATATATACAAGAAATGACCACCGACCTCTACATCCCTTGTATATATAATTGATGCACATAGATATATTTAACGGAAAAGAGTTACTACCAAGTCATTTCTCACTCCAAGGAATTAAGAAGCAAAACACTCAAGTGATACAAAAGCATGCATCACAGAGTCTATTAAGAAGTTGTAGTCCAAAGAAAGCAAAGAAGCACCTGTTACCATCTCTAAGTAAATGCACCAAATAGTCAATGTATTTCGTCGCTCCACATGTTGCAATAGGAACTATTTATGACACCAATTGGTATCCATGCCAACAACCTGAAAAAATCCTGATAAAGACCAGACCATTGTAGCCCACAATTGGCGGCGAAGTCATCGCGACCAACATAAATTACCCACAACCACAAGAATTAATATGCTATACCAAAAAGCAATTTTTTCAAGTATATCAGAAACAAATGCCATGATTGGGGTGGCGAAGAAATTTGGAAGCAATACTTTGAGCTGAAAGTTTCCAGAGTACCCGAAACTCTTAAGTTATGGTTGCAAAAGCTTACCTTCCGCAGCATGTATACATGCTTTATTCCATGGCAACCTTCATACTGAGGTTTACTTACAAACGCCATTGCGTGGCTACTACAGGTAGCTGAAACAACCGAAAACCAGAACGATTTATTAGCACGCACTGCGTCATACATATGCAAGTGTGTGCAAGCGTAGCGTCAGGCCTTGGAGAGCATGCCGATCTCGACGCACTGCTGCAGGGGGATCCCAAGTGCTGGCAGCGCCGACCGGCACGTGCTGTGCAGGAACTCGTAGAAGCCGAGCAGAACCCGGTCGAAGAATCCCGTGTCCTTGCCAACGTGGAACCTCATCTTGCCCCTGATGTGCACCACCCCAGCCTCCCTCGCCTCCTCAAGCAGAGCCACCTCCTCCTCGGTGATGTGGTCCCGCAGGGCACCCACCACCAGGTCAGCGAGTTCGTCCTCCTCGGTGTCGAGCGGGTCGGCGTAGCCATACTGTATCGTGCACCCGTAAACCCCGTTGGGCCCAAGCCGCCGGATGGCCACACGGTCCTTGGCATCGACCTTGGCCACCAGGAGGTACCGAAGTGTGAGGAAGATGGTCACCTTGTGCAATGACCGCATGTTCCTGATGTAGTGCGCGAGCACCGGTGTGAGCCAGTCCTGCATGTTGCTGTAGAAGAAGCAGAGCCCGGAGACGCGGTGCACGTCAGCACCAGCGAGGAGCTCACCGAGCCGCTCGAGTGTTACCTTGTTCGCCATCTCGTACTCCGCTTTCCTCTGTCTACCATAGTACCAGCCGAACATGATTAATGCCAACAACAATGACACTGCAAACGGCATCCACCCACCTTTGAGGATCTTGGTACACACTGCGCTCACGTAGGTGCCCTCGAGGATCAGGAATGGCACGAAGTAGAGTGCCACAAGCACCACATGCGTGTCCCAGATGATGAGCATCACCAGGGAGAGCAGGACGGTGGTGATTAGCATGACCATGATGACTACCACCCCGAACGCGTTTCCGATGTCCTTACCATCGCCGAGACCGAGGATGGCACCAACACAGAACAGCATGAGTATGTAGTTGGTTTCCGGCGAGTATACCTCCCCTTCCTTGTTCCTGGAGGTGTGCACCACCTTGACACGGGGGAAGTAGTCGAGGGCTACTGACTGCTTGATGACGGAGAAGGTGGCTGAGATCAGCGATTGACTTGCCACGATAGCTGCCAGTGTCGCAATGACGAACATGGGCCAGTACACGGGACGCGGCACAAACTTGTAGAACCCATCGCTGAAGTCATCGACGTTGTTGATCAGGTACGCCGTCTGCCCAGCATAGGTGAGCACGAGGGAGGGGTATATGCTTGTGAGAAATGCGATCTGGATAGACCTCTTGCTAAAGTGTCCAAGATCCGCAAACATGGCCTCGGCACCTGCATGAATTAAAACGGTAAGTTTGTCAATGGAGGACATTACAACTGTCCGTGAAACAGATAAAAACTTAAATGTACATGCCAGTGATGCAGAGAACGGTTCCACCGAGCAGCTGCCAGCCCCTTTTCTGGTTGGTCATGAAGAACATAATGATGTAGTGTGGCGACAAGGCCTTGAAGATGCCAGGGTAATAGCGCCAGATGCTGTAGATGCCGATGATCGGTGTGGTAAAAGTCCACGCAGCCATGATTGGCGAGAATATGAAACTCACTTTCGACGTGCCGTACTTCTGCAGCAGGAAGAGCCCAATGAGGATCGCTGCAGACACAACCTCCACCACAGCTGCAAAACATTAATCCCAGACACACTATTAAGCACAATCCTTTGTTGCAATGAAGAAATTCACAACTTTGGATTAACTGCATACGTTTACTGACGGATGGGAAAGGGCCTCTCAGTCCATCTATAGCAGACAAGACTGAAATAGCAGGTGTGAGAATGCCATCTCTGATTAGCATACACATGCCCAATATAGCAGTGAGGAGCAGCAGCCTCCTGGCGACAATGCTGCGCTCGATGAATCTCCTCAGCCTGCTTGGCCTTCTGGTCACAGCAGGCTCAGTCGAGACCAGATCCTCTTCTTCGATGTAAATCTTTTTGGACGGGAGGATGCCGATGTTGGCATGCTGGCAGAGAAGAGAATACATGGCAAATGTGCCACCTGCATTTGAAAAATAACTCCCATCAAGTAAGAAATCAAGAAATATACGGTCTGGCCTATTTATCATTGATAGCTTGGGAGAATCTCTGGTTAATTTTGTTACCTTCACCATGATCATCGGCATGCAGAGCTATGCATATGTACTTGATGACACCGATCAGAGTCAGGGTCCAGAACATGATGCTGTATATCCCCAGGTAGTCTTCCTCGGTGGGATTGGTCAGATTCATCGATGGATAAACATAGAGAGGTGAAGTGACGAGGCCACCGAACACGACACCCAATGTCTTGTAAGCTAGGACCAGATCTTGGTGGAACCCCTTCTTCTGCAGGAAAGACAGACTTAAATCGACTGGTGTGAAGATATACAATTATTATTGATTACTGTTTTAAAAGGAACAAATTAATCCCTAAAAAAGGGAAAACTCGTATCGTATAGCTATCTCACAATTACATACCTTGTCATCTCTTCCCGCTTCAACGTCCATTGAGACTGCTGCCATTGCAATCTGTGTGGGACAGCAGAGCTTGGATGAATCCTTGGAACCTTTGCCCTCGGAGGCAGTCTGTCCCACGAATAACAATGTTGAGAGGTTGCAGTACTTATAGAAGATAGAGATTGAGACCACGAGGCTCCATAGCTCCCCTAAAAAGGAAGAAAAAAACAGAAACGGGGTGGAGGCGGGGCCTGCAATTCCCCAGCCAAATTATGCTCCCACCAGCAGATGCCACAAGCCCCACAGCCAGCTAAAAGCTGGAGGATATTTGCATATTGCTCTGAAGAGGATGTCAAACCCTGATGTGGAGCTTCTAAAATGCACCCTGATGTGGAGGATATTTGCATATTGCTCTTATTGAAGTCTTCGATTCTCCGTGTCGTTCATGCTGTATATGAAGATTAGGTCTATAGTATATCGCCTCGCTGCTCAATTCTGCCTGTGCACACCTTCTTAGGTTCTCTCAACATAACCTGGCCAGGATGAGTAGGAAGAACAAGGATACAATATGCATGTATGTGCCAACTCATCGAAGAAAATCATATATTAATGATAACAATCAAGGTAGATTGATCATAATCATGTTCTACGACTCATAGTGGTCTTTAGAGAAACAGAGTGCAATCATGTTGTAGCTCCAAAAGAGGGAAGTGTTATTACATTGGCACTACTGGAAAGTGGAAACACCCTGTAGTCCCAATGCAGACTACTTATACTTCATCGTAGCAGTAGAATACATGGTTAGAAGCAATAGCTATTGGGCCATGGTGGGTTCCTGAAGCTCTTCAGCAATCCCATCCTCTTTTTATCCCCTGCTAGATCATATTCTTCATGCACGATCATTTTGATCTAGACTTGTTTTTTATTTTTATTTCCACCAACTATAAGAATATGTCTGTTGATTTTTCCAAAGGGATTGACAGCTGACAGACCTTGTATTAAAGCAGGTGACCGAACTGACTGCAAAGCACTAACACAAAAGTCCTAGAGGATACATTCGAAAGCATTTGTTCCGACACATGTCAGTTCACCATAGCTCACCCCACATGTGCAACAGGAGCAAGACAATGAGTATGGTTAATTCGTTATTGACATAAACAAAGGTTTTCCTACGGGGATAAAATTCGCATATCGCATATAAACTCCTACAGTATCATTTTTTCCAACTTAAAATTAGATGTGATATTGTTGTTTAATGGTGGAATAAAGTGACCACACTAACATTGGCCAAGATATGTTTAAAAATATAGATATGATTCCAGACCTTTTTTTTGGCGAAAAGACTCCAGACCTATTTTGGACAGGAGAATATATATTCTTTGTTCTTGCTAGGTAGTAGGTACTACACCCAACTTCATATGCTGGTTCTATCACACCTAAACTGCCTGGCCACTGTGATTTGTGAAAACTGAAAACATGTGGTACCATATTGCATCATTGCAAATTTGCAATGCACCAAAAGCTGGAAACAGACGGGTAATGACCTTGTGCCCACAATGATGGAGATTAATGTAAGCACGCACAATCAAAAAGTTAAAAGATGATTCTTCTTGCCACTCTTCAAGCTGTAACTAAGTTCATACTTTGATCAGGGAGCCCACACGTACAGATTCGTGCCAATCAACAAACGAGTGCAGAGTGGGGAGAGCTGCCAATTTCCTGTTCATTTTGATATAGTCGATCAGATTAAATCTTACAAATTAGTGAAATAAAATCTTTGAAGTGGCAACAATTCTGGACTAGAAACAAAGTTCTGTTAGCCTGGTTTACAGCTATGACGAACATATGTGGTACTCCCTCCATTCAGAAATATAAGATGTTTTGAATATTTTAACATAGACTACGACATACGGACTAAAATGAGGGAACAAACACACTAAAACGTGTTCATAACTCTATATACATCTGATTCGCAAAAAGTTAAACATCTTATATTTCTGAAAGGAGGTAGTACATATTACCAGACTGAGCATCAATACTGTAACTTTAGCAAAGAGGACGGGTTTCAGACATGTCATACATCAGATTTTTAGAACTGCATCGCAAAAGGACATATCCCTGTATTCCGTGGTCCTTTATAGCCACATAAACATATGGTTAAGATATATGTAGATGATAGACAATGCTGCAAGTGCTTTAATTTCGTGACAAACCTGCAGAGGCTGCTTACAAATATAGTGTTTTGGATGTGCTTCTGAAGTTCCTCAATTAGATCCTTTGGGAGCGCACACCTTGGGACAGGTTTTGAATGTCCTGCAGATGTGTTAGTATGTTAGAAAAAACAACATATTAGGTTTAGGCCAAACAAGGAAACATCTCATTTCGGTTATCGGGGGAACTAGACTGACAGTATGTATCATGAAAAAGCTCATTACTAATCCTATTATAGATATTGTCTGTTGGTTTAAAATGGAAAGGAGAATGAATAATATTTTGACATATAAAAAAAGGGGCCAAGTTTAAGACATCAGTGAACCCAACTAAGGACTGTATAGAAGTTATCTACATGATGGGGGGAAACTGTATGTTAATTCCTATACAACGATAAAAAAACTAGGGAAAAAAAGAGTCTGCACAGTGATTCTTGGGGAAAAGTACCAAGTATTGGACTAGTGGACTGGGATCACAGAAACCAATCTATAATACTAGTAGAAACACAACTATAATTTTCAGTCAGAATAGATTCATTTATCAGGAGCGAACCTCTGAAGCTGGCCTTAACACCTGCCCCTGTGAAGGGCAGCTTCTCAATTGATGACCTATCTTCCAGACAGCATGTATGCCTATATACAGAGCCTTATCAAGCATGGCATCAGCAAACATACATACACCCTGTTTTATTCGAGGCATGTGTTCTAACCGGCTGAGCTAATCAATTTATGCCCAGTTGGTTAAACCAATTGGTTAAAAACTAATCAATCCTCAACTTGTCGTGGCTGAGCTAACAAATTGACCACCAAATAAGGCGAAAACAATAGTAATAATGATAAGCTCGACTGAAACTAACTCCTGCATCCATTCTGCAAATTACCAATCTCTCGTCAAACCTCACAGGCGAATCAAGCAGTTGATAAGGATCCGTTATCGCAACAATCTCAATTTATCTCCTTAAAAATAACTGTCCCAATCTAAACACCAAGAGGAAGGGGAAATTCTCAAGCCCCAGCACCCGATTTCCCAGATCTAAAAGGGATGCATTGTAGAACACTTCCCTTGATTGGGGTCGCATTGGAAACCGCGGGATGGCGAACGGCGACGCCGCGCCGAGCTGCCAACGTGTAGGGGCACCACGCGCCCCGGTCCAGTGCAAACCCAAACGTCGGGACGAGACCAGAATAGGGGGCAACGGCGTGAGGGCCGAGCACGTCGAGGAGGAGGTCGAGGTCGCCGTCCTCTGCCGCCAGGGAAGTGGCCGGGACTTGCGCTACGGCCGGGCGTCAATGTGCTGGGAGAGATCACGGCGGCCGTCAGATTCTGCTTGGGAGTTATAGGATCGTGGCCGTCAGATTATGAGGGAGCCCACTACTCTGTCAGATTGCTCATAAAATCTTAACTCCTCAAATCTGAGTAGTTAAAAAATGTGCCGAGAAGCTATGCTTGCACTAAGAAAACGCTTGTTGCATCCATCAACACAACATTTGCAACAGACGCGCCTAGCAGTTAAAAAAATAGACACAACATAGGGCCATTGCAGCATGTCGCTGTGTGGAATTCAAAAGAAAAAAAAGGATGTCTCTGTGTGTTTGCGGGGCGTATAATAAGCATTTGTGTGACCATGCGAGGAGCACTGCAGGAGGGCTTCGGGGTACAAGGGACCAAGTGCGATATCTTTCTAGACGATCATCTGGTCTTTTCCTCCGATCATATGGTACTAGTGAATTGCAGTGTCCTGGATAGCCTCTAGCACTTGCCTGTGACCACTAGGTTGCTTCCGCCAGTAGAGACATGTTCATGGTCCGTGCTAGCCAAAAACATTGTTTGATCTAAAAACACAAAGGCACCGCACTTCCAGGAAAGACCCTTACATGGAGTATAAATCGGCAGAACATGTGTTGAATGTGGGTAACCACGGACCCTCAAAATGCCCCCATAGAGTTATCTAGTCGCCGATAATTTTGAACCAATTATGTTAATTTTCGAGTGTGTTCGGCTCTGTATGTGAATTTTATAAGTTTTGGTAGACCAGCCTTGCATTTGTACGTTAAAATATTTTGACCTCGAATGTTGCACGCCTCGTAAGTTCAATTCGTGGACTTGCCACTGATTGTGCCTTCAAGGCATTGGCGCGCTAGGCAGAATGATCCATCAATTAGTTTCCTCTTTAGCTTCCCTTTCCTCTTTGTAGGCTTTTCTCCAAGAGCAATGCTAAATCTACGAATGATTTTTCCAGGTTTGCTTTTACTGGCTGACATGTCACATTTTAATTGGAGATCAATGGAAGCTATTGGATATCAATGGAAAATACAGATGTGGTTTTGGACTTTAAAACAAATGCCATCGTCAAGCCGAAGAGAATATTGTGGTTGCTCAGGGTTATTCTGGATGATTAATCTTGACCTATGCAGTTTCAACAACCCTCGCTATTTACACTTCTTGGCTTTTTGCCTAGTCTGGTGGAGATGTTCTTAAAGCATGATCTTGCGTCTCCCCTCTGGTCCAATTGCCATGTCCTCAAGAGAGTGAAGTCCCAGACATAGACTCCGTGTTTTTGTCATAAAATCACTTCCGGTGGCTTTCAAGTCTACACAATCCTTGAAGAGATGTCGAGCATCCATACCAAAAAGCTTTCACAACGGTCTGCAGAAGCTGTCGACTGCTAAACGAGCCCCTTGGCAAGAGGTTCATCCCAAGGTGTATGCGTGTTGGCCGTGAGCAGCACAATAATGAGTCCCTTGGCAAGAACGGAGCCCTGGGTAAATAAGCATGACCAGGCTGTACTATCATCCTTGCTCCACCCTTTCCTGTGTGTTTGCACTCTCTCTCAACTCGGGGTGTGCGTTTGAGGG